GTTGAGGGGGGGGGGGTGCGGGGGGGGGGCGCGGAATTGATTCGTTGGAAGCAATATCGTGGGCATAATCCATTGCAACACTGAAAGAAAAAAAAGTTATATTTTGCAAAGGTTTATTTATTTATTTTTTTCACAAAGAAAGTGAAAAGAATGTCAAAATAATGTCACAAATTTTTGGAATCTTTAACGCACATTTTTCCTAATGCAAAAAAAAAAAAAGATGCATTTTCATTACTGTAATGAAGTGGATCACGTTGAACAGACAGTTTTTTTTTTAATTTAATTAATTAGATATTTAAATTTAATGGCAAATGCCGGAATGATTCATGAGTGCAGCAGTAATGCGGTGTTCTCATTCCTCTGCTGAACCGCATGAATGTGGATCTTTATTATCACAACACTAAACACGACGTGGCATCTGTCCAAGTCTTACCATCTGCACACACTCCATGAGGGGCAGCCGCACAGACTGGTTCCCACACAGAGACACCACGCAGGCTGGCGTGTTTGCAGTGGTCTCAAGCAGTGCTAGAACCGCCTCCACACCCATACGACTGGCCTGACAACAAACACAAAACAGCATTGCAATCTGTAGTGCACTTAATCAGCTCTAATGTAATCTGAGTCACTTTATGTATAGAAATAGCCAAACCTGTATGTCTGTCTTCTGCTGATCACAAAATAATTTATTTTGAAGACTGTTGAGAACCAAACAGTTGCTGGTAGCCATTGATTTACACAGTATTTTTTTTTCTCCATACAATGGAATTCAATGGCTACTAGCAACTGTTTGGTTATCCTCATTGTTCAAAATATCATCTTTTTTGTTCAACAGAAGAAATAAACTCGGGTAAAAATTTAAGGGTGAGTAAATTGAGAAATTTCATATTTGGATAAACTATCCTTTAAAGCACATTTTTCCTAATGCAAAAAAAAAAAAAGACGCATTTTCATTACTGTAATGAAGTGGATCACGTTGAACAGACACAGTTTTTTTTTATTTAACTAATTAGATATTTAAATTTAATGGCAAATGCCGGAATGATTCATGAGTGCAGCAGTAATGCGGTGTTCTCATTCCTCTGCTGAACCGCATGAATGTGGATCTTTATTATCACAACACTAAACCCGACGTGGCATCTGTCCAAGTCTTACCATCTGCACACACTCCATGAGGGGCAGCCGCACAGACTGGTTCCCACACAGAGACACCACGCAGGCTGGCGTGTTTGCAGTGGTCTCAAGCAGTGCTAGAACCGCCTCCACACCCATACGACTGGCCTGACAACAAACACAAAACAGCATTGCAATCTGTAGTGCACTTAATCAGCTCTAATGTAATCTGAGTCACTTTATGTATAGAAATAGGTTCATATTCCACGTAAGCAGAAAATACCTAGGGATTTACATACTTCACCATGTACTAAGGATGCTAACATAGTGTGTTCAGTAAAGATATTCAAACTGAAATATTGCTTGTGTGTTATTGTGTGTTTGCCAGCTGTTGTTGCTTATTTGAGCATCAGATCAAATTTTATGACCAATTTAAGCATGTTGAATCCAAGGGTCCAGCTACTGTAAGTGTTGTTTGTGATCGACAGCTTGTCACACTGAAGTCCTTCTATTCTTGCATAATTCTTTTTTTTTTATTTGATTTTTCAATTCCCCAGCGTGCACTTGAGCCTTTATTTTGTGCTTCATCATTGTGGAAACAGCAGAGTAGCCATCAAATCTGTTTATGTACTTAATGTAAGCTCCCCCAACCCTCCTGTTTTTATCCCCAAGAGTTTCTCACCAGAATCCTGTCAAATGCCGAGGGGGTCCCTCCTCTCTGGACGTGGCCCAGGATGGTCACGCGTGTGTCGAAACCCAGACGCTGAACCACCAACTGGAGGGGTAATAAAAAAGATTTAGAGTTGAAGTATAGGAATCAAGGGAATTCAGAGGTTGTAGGTTATATTTTGTCAACAAGGATAACATTCAAATTTCAATAAAAGCTAAATCCTATAAGTTTTTGAAATTTTAAGTAAAATTATCACCATAATCATAATGTTTACTAACCATACAGTACATAAAATGTTAATAATAATGTTAACTCCTAACTGAAAATTGTTGCCATTTACTCACCCTTTTGTCTTTTGAAACCCTTATGACTTGGAACACAAAAGGAGATATGTCTATGTCCAAGCGCCTTCAATTTTGGTATGTTTCTAACAAAGTTATTGTATGATTTGGAATATAGTGCAAAAGTCTAATGGATCACTTTTCCAAATGGCTACTGTTAGTAAAGGTCTTTAAGTCACTATTGGTGGTTGAAAAAGTACTGTACTGTTGCCCGTGGTCACCAAGTCCCTATTCCCTATAAGCTACTGTAATGTTGGCCAACATCTCCAAGTCACTATCTGTATACTGTTGGTCAAGGTTTCCAGGTTGCTAAACTGTTGTTCAAGGGCGCTAAGGTTCTGTACAGTTGGTCAATGTTTACAAGTCGCTATATCTTTGTTTTAATGTCCGCCAATAGAAAATACATATTGGGACTAGTGGAAAGTGATTTACTGTATGCAGACGTCTCTGGGATTAATATGTTATATAATCTGTAAATGTACATGTACAACCAATGTTGAAGGGTAGTTGCTAACTTGACTCGGTTTTTTAGTAGTGTGACTGTTTTGCAAACATAGTTTTACAACTGAGAAATCCAGGATAAAAATCACACACTCTAACTCTATCTCTAACAAGTTGCAATGGAAAGCTATACATTTCAATTAACAGATCCTACTTCATAAAAAGTGAAGCTTAACTAGTTAATTTAATTGGCATTATAGCTTGCAGTTTGTCAAGCTACAGTTTCAGAGTCACTTCCCCAACACTGTATACAACCACAAACTTACTTGAATGGTTTTGGCAATTTTCCAGGTGAAAAACTAGTAAGAATAAACCAGAATGTAATACAAGTGTGAGCACCTGACTAATATGAGAAGTTTATCAAGAGTGCTGCAAGTAGATTTAGAGAGAAGTGATGTATTTTTGTTTTACCGCAGAGAGTTTTTGACACATTTTCTCTTCCCAGCCATCCTCAGGGGGCATTTCAGGAATCAACACCCAGTCGGCTCCACATGCCAGGGCACTCACCAATGCCAGATAGCTTTATACACAAGCGCATACAGATAAACAGAATACAGCGTCTTGTTTGACAGTAGGCAGCATCATTTCTCCGTCAAGCGCAAACACCATGCCAATCATAGGTTTTTTACAAATCCAGGCCAAAATAGCTGTAATATGTAATCATCTTACCCACAATGCCTGCCCATCACCTCCAGCACAAATGTCCTCTGGTGACTGTAAGCCATAAAGAATGATTAGCCAATAAACGGGAATCACTCAAAAACTGGCATTTACATTCACAAGAAACATCTGGTGGTTTTAGATTTGTGTAACTTGAATTATTATTTGTTATGGATTGTTGAAGTACCTCTGAGCTGTAGTCATAATCGCATCCACCACCTCAATAATCCTGTGGAGGGCTGAGTCTGTTCCTATTGTCATGTCTGTGCCGCAGAAGTCATTGTCAATAGAGCCCACCATTCCCACAATGTGAAGAGCAGAGTATTTCTGAGATGCCTCTTCATCAATCAGACCTGCGATTAAACACGGCAATAAAATGCAAAATTAGATCACATTATAGCCAAGATTTTTATATTATTTGCATATAGGGCTGGGCGATATGGCAAAAAATATCATATCACAATTTTTTTCAGGAAAATCACGATTCACATTTTTATCGTGATTCTTTGTCATGTTGGTTTTACTATTTTGCAAGTTGTCTGAGCAGCACAGCCAAACTATTCTCCCTATTTTAAAAACAAAGCCTTTATAGGGTTAAAGTATAAAATAAAAAAGAATGACTGACATTTAGGCCAAATTGGGCGAAGTAAAAAAAAAATCATTATTTTATCTTTGTTATTAAAAAATAAGAACAAAGATCCACATTACAAACACACATTACATACACATAAAACAAACAATGCTTTATTTTTCAGATATAGAAGGTTTATTTAGCAGTTCAAGAAACTGAATGAACAAATATAAAAATAAAACACTACATACACTTCACTGTATAAATTATACATTGATTCTTACTAAAGCAACTGTATTAAACTTCTTCAGTCAAGAGCAGTGAGTGATTTTTCTCTTTGTGTTTTGGTTTTTTATTAATATTTAAAAAGAGAGTTCACCCAAAGATTTTGTAATCATTTACTCACTCCCAAGTTGTTTTAAACCTGAATGAGTTTTTCTTCTGTTGAACATAAGTTATTCTGAAGAATGTGGGTAACCAAACAGTTGCTGGTCCCCAGTGACTTCCAGAATATTTTTTTCCCCCGCTATTAAACTCAATGGAGACCAGCAACTGTCTGGATGCCCACATTCTTCAAAATATTTTCTACAGGTTTGGAACAACATGAGAGTGAGTAATTAGGGCTGCACGATTATGACAAAAATCATAACTGTCGATTATTCCCTTGAAATTGTAATTGCGATTATTAATTACGATTTTCACAATTTACATTGAATGATGTTTATACCATTGTTTGATGCAACTGCATGCCGTATTTTTATATGAAAATAAACAAGCTGACAACACTCTAACTGAAAAGCCTTTAGTGCTTTTCTATAGTATTAAGCCACAAATGTCAACTATACATCGGATTGGTTTCTTCTTTAAATTATAAAAAAGAAAAATATGAATGTTATTATAATGTTATACTAAAATTAAAATAATGGGAAAAACCCTTAAGATAACATGTAGAAAGAGAAAAAAAACATCTTAACCACGCAGAATAAGTGGACCTTGAACGATTAATTGAAGCTTTGCACGATTACGTAATTGTGGCATCCGTAATTGTAATCGCGATTAGAAATTTGATTAATTGTGCAGCCTTAGAGTAAATAATGACAGAATTTTCATTTTTGGGTGAACTATTCCTTTAATGACAACCGGCAGCATGTTTAGTACTATTAAAGTGACTGCTGTCACTTTAAGAGCTGCATGTATACATTTTTCTCTCAGCTGTTTAATTTCACTTTTGATAAAACCAACTGTTTAAATGTAAACTGTATGTGTTTTTGACAGTATTTTTGACAGTACTTCTGGTGTATGCACTCAGAAAAAGCCATGTCGGAACAGCACGCGAATGAAATGTTTAACCGGCAAGGCTTTAAAGCACATGCAAATAATGTACTTTTATGATTGAGAATAAGTGCAGTGTCCCGTGAGTGTAACTCTACTGCTGAGTTAACATTTGATGTGAATGTATGTGGCATTGTACAGTATATTGAACATGCATACATTTGAATCATCCACGATCAAAAATCGTAATATCACACACCCCTATTTGCATATCCTCCTGCTCTGCTTGATCTTTATTTTTTGGCTAATTTAAGCCTAATTGAAATCCTAAAAAGTTAATGACCAATATTTTCTAAATTCTGATGAATTCAGGTAAAAGGTTTTGAACAAATAAAATGCTTTGTATGTAAATTTGTATGTAAAATAAACTTAATTTGATATCTATTGTGTCATCTGCAGCCCGTACCTTGCTGGACCAACTCTGCCAGCAAGCCACTCCACTCCTTTCTGAAGAGATTGGCCCCGGTCAAGCTGCCATCTCCACCAATCACGCACAGGTTAGTGATGCCCCTCTGCACCAGGTTATGAGCAGCCTTCAGACGACCCTCGTGCATACGGAAATCTTTGCATCGTGCGCTGCCGATTACAGTGCCGCCCTAGAACACAATCATACAAATTCATAAGCACTGCAAACACGAGATGGAAAAGCTATTTGAAAAGCAATGTAGTAACCGTAACCTTGCAACAGTGTGAGCATTGGTATGTATGAGTGTGTCGAGGGGCCGTATGCTTCTCATCACACTCACCATTTGCAGCATGCTGGACACACTCTCCCATGTCGCCTCCTTGATATTGTCGCCTCCATCCACCATACCCTGATATCCCTGTAAAACACACAAGCACAATATTAAAATTGCACCTCTTATCCTTGAATGACCTCTTAGTAACAAGAAATGAATTCAGGTAATCATGTGAACCAGCTTACGGAGATTGGCAGGCAATGCTCTGGCTTGGCAAAGGCATGGCTTTGTGTTTACAAAATGTTTCAGCACAGCACAAGGTGAAGCGTGTCATTTCTGCACCACTAGCAAATGCTTGCCTTTGCCGACGTCTCAAACAAATGAAATGACACGCTTCACCTTTAAGAATGAGTGTGGAATCAGGAGAAAATGGATGTGTGGGTTTCTTCACTGAAGCGGTTGCATAAAATCAGAGTGGGGGAAGGTATTCGGCCTATCACAGCCAGACATCTCTTCAAGCAGAGCTGAGTTGCTATGTGATACTAATGGAAAAATCGTGTTTATATGAGACCAGATACATGGGGCTTTAATTCAAACCACTGTGGAAACACTTCTGCTATGCCAACGACTCTGAACTGGATTAATATTATTTACAATACATGACAACACTAAAATGCCTGTGTGCATTCATAATACTTCTAGTAGTAACATTTCTATATTGGAAATGAATGATTGGCCAATGGGAGAGAGTGAACACAACACTGAGAGCCATTACACCCATATGTTATACAGCAATGTCTTATTAATGTTTACACATCATTATAAGTATATACATCATGTAAAGACATACCACTCATCCAGTTTTATCGAAATTCTGTAGAAATTAACTAGAGACTGACCTCGTGAACGAAGTACACTTTGGCTCCAACATATATTCCCATACGGACCACAGCCCGAACAGCAGCATTCATCCCTGCACGCAGAGGAACAACAGACAGATCATGTTTTAGAAGGATATCTGTAGGAAAATACTGTTTGTTTGGGTTTGCACTTGATAATGTAATTTAAGGATTACTGCAACCCACTGTGCAGCATATTATAAAAAATTGTAGGCCTCTCTGAAGGCCTTTCCTGCCATATTTGCTCAAATGTTGCCTCCTCCTATAATGCCTCACTCATAGCTCTCTATGCTAATACTGGGTTATAAATACTAGCTTTCTATCTCAATAAAAGTGCTATGTCCATAACATTAAAAAAAATTGATATGCTATAATTTTGCTATATTTGCTCACTGAAAGCTAGACTGCTTTTACTAGGCAACACATTGCAATTAACGGGGAAGGAATGAGTAAGAAAGAGAAAAGCTGAACAGCTCCTTAAAAAAAAATATATATAGTGGTATGTCAGATCTGCCCTACAGGCGCTGAAAAATTCAGTGTCACCGTGAGCTCAAGCTTTTGAGTCTGTCACTGTAAGTACTAATTGAGTGAATTCATCTATAACATGTACATGTCGGGCATGTGCTGTTAGCCCAATGAAATGACTAACATTGCATGTGAGTTACATCAGACAGAGTCACTACAGAAATGACACATTCTATGGTGACTCATTAACTACTATGATTTTATTGTTTTTTGTCACACAGTAACCTACGCTATAGTCCAAAACAAGAACATTTGCATTTCTCGTAGGAGCTACAGTGAAGTCCCTTGTGAAGGAGTACACTTTAGCATTCAAAAGAGTAGCCTCTTACTTTTCTTTAATACTTTAAAGTAACACCTTTGATTTGACACTGTTAAAAAGTGCAATTTTAAGTGTACACTTTGACCTTGACTGCTCCCCGGGCACAGCAGCATAAATGGCTGCCCACTGCTCCGGGTGTGTGTTCACGGTGTGTGTGTTCACTGCTGTGTGTGCACTTTGGATGGGTTAAATGCAGAGCACTAATTCCGAGTATGGGTCACCATACTTGGCCACATGTCACTCACTCACTTTTAAGAAAGTGTACTATATTTAAGTGGCACTTAAAGTCGGCATGAAATCAAAATTGACTTTTTTTTACTTTGCTAGTGCACATTGCTAGTCTTGATGTGAACAATTAATCCGTCCAAGTTAATCCGCTGAAAAAAATTGTTTGTCTTGGTAATCTTTAATCAAAATCTGATCATTTGCTTCCGCTCTGGAATGGCAGTCCTTCTCTGATGACGTCAGTTTGACGGCTTGGGCAGAATATCCTTTTAAACACACCCCTCCAACCGTTAGTTTGATATGAGTGAGAGACAGAGAGGAGGAGCGCCAAAATAAAACCATGTCCTCTATTCAATATTCTGTTTCAGATGGAAATTCGTCACTACACTGAAATAAAGTCGGTAGCAACTTCCGGTTCGGGCGGACTTTAAAGTGGCTTTTTATGTAATTAATAGTATATTATACGCAGAGCTGGGTAGTAACTGATTACATGTAATCTGGTTATGTAATCAGATTCCAAAAAGTAAGTACTTGTAATTAATGAAATTACATTTTAAAATACTTGTAATGCAGACTGTAGTTACTTGTTTTATCGATTACATGATTACATATTCACACAATAGCAATAAATTATTTATAATTTATTGATTCCCCCAAATTCCTCTTTTAAATGCATCTTTCTAAAATATTTTTTCAGATTTTAAAAATATTTTAATAACCAAGTATAACATTATCATTTCAATATTACACGTTCACGGTTCTCCGACATTGGTTAATGATCACATGACATGCAGGTAAACACATCTTTTTTTTTTAGTAAGTGTTTTATTTTGGTTGATGTAATTGTATTTATTTAAATTTTGTATGCTTTAATTATTAGCTTGTCATTATTTCCTTTAGAAACTTCAGTTTGGGAAACCTTGACAGAATGTTTAATGCACTCCATGTTGTTGTTAATAACAACTGGAATATATTTTCTACTCTTTGTATTTTTATATCCATATGGCAACAGATTGTCATTTAAATCAATGCGATAAATGAGTTGGGTCAAAAGTAATCTCAAATTATTCCAATTATATTACCTAAAATGTGTAATGTAATGGGTTACGTCACTAACTGCAATTTTTGTCATGTAATTTGGAATCAGTAACGGACTACAATTTGTAAGTAATCTACCCAGCTCTGATTATGTGCAAGAACATTTTCTTAAAAAAATATAGGCTACTTTTAAGATTTGAAGTACACTACAAATGCACATTCAATACAATTAAGCACACTTCTCTTTTTCAGAAAAGGTGCCTGAATGGTCTCATAAACTAGACTAGCATTAGGGATGGGCATATCGATCCGAAGTATCGATATATCGATACTGACGCGAGTATCGAAAGTATCGATACTCAAACAAAAAATATCGATATTAAGGTGCGTTTTATTTACTAGTGGTTTTGTTTATTTAACAAAAATAATAATAATAATGCGTACAATATGCATTGAATTGGACGAATAATCTTTGTTAGCGAGTAATCGTGTAGGATAGAACTATTTTCCTGCTCATCTGAATACACGCAAATGTTGCAAGACAGAACCAATCAATCAGAGAGAGCATTCACTCACTTCTGAGTGCATTCAAACAGGGCTGCGTTTCCCAAAAGTATCATAAGAAAGCATTAAAGCTTTTGGGAATGGCAGCCCTGAACAATGCTTATCAGAGGACAGAAAAAACCCCCCATAAATGTTTGAGTTATTTCACAATAAACAAATTGAAATTGTTGCCTACATAGTTTGTGCAATTACAATTATTTAAATTGAACGTTGAACGATAATACTGATCATGTTCTATTCTGTAATGTTAATAGAAATCATACACTGTCAGAATAAAAAGGTTGCATTTTATGCATGCAACAGCCATCCACTGGCAGTCCCTAATGGCAGTACAAAATATTGCACTATATCAAAAGTTCAAATGTTACAAATAAGTTAGAATATTAATGTTGTAATACTGGTAGCACTAATATAAAAATGTGATGATATATGTTACAAAAAAGTAACAATTTTGAAATACGTTGATGGTTGTATTTTTTTTGTATAAGGGTTTTTTATGCATAATAGTAACCCTAGAATGTGATCAAACAGTTTAAAATAGCTGGGCTAAGATATATAACAATTTTTAAGACTGCAGAAATGTGTTAATTCAGTATACACCTTATCCCACCGGTTACGATTGTGACTGACCATAAAATACAAAAAAACTAATTATTGATTATTTCAAAGGGTTACTAATGACACATCATTTGGATATTTTCATGTCAGGGAGAAATTTGGGATTAAATGGGTTAAAATGTGTTTTAAACAAAGTTAAGTGGTTTTCATTACCTGTTTTACTCT